ATTCATGCATGTATAAACCAGCAAAATGGGTTTGTGTGAAGACTATCTAGAGTGCGCACAATATCTCAAATTTATAGCACCAGCAATGGTGAGGATAATTTTTTTTAAGAAATGCAGATGATGAGGCCAAGATCGTAGGGTAATGGAGACAAATGAGGCAAATGTCCCGCCTTTTAAACGACGATCACACATTAGAAAGTTTCTTTTCTGCAATTATTAGTATTTTAAATAATTAATATGCAAGGTTCAAGCAATACACTAATCAACGTTCACAATGATGAAATAGTGCTTTTCTTTTCTGCAGCCACCATTGGAGCTTTAACCACACACTGGTCACTGGTAAACATGCAGCCACCATTGGAGCTTTAACCACACACCGGTCACTGGTAAACATAGGTTTTATAAGTGTTGCAAATACCGTTTCGTTGGAAAACATTATTTACAAAAGAAGGATCCATTGAAGAGAAAAAATGAAGACTCTATCATTTATTTATATTTAGACAAAATTGCTTTCTTTAAAAAATAAAAGCAACACGTGAACCTGATTAACTGTTTTTAAAAATTTGACGGTCCTTCTTGGCTATTTTAGACTATTTTCGTGAAATGAAGACGTTTATTGAAATATTTATCTTTTTTGTACGGCCGTTTGAAAATTGTTTTTCAAAACTCTAACTTGTATTCTTTTTTAAATATTTCTCTTTCAAAAGTGTAAGCGATTTGAAGACCAATCACACGTTTTGATCGTTGGCTATGATATTCAAAAACGTTTGATCACACTGGTAATTGCAACCTAGCTTTTATAATAAATCCAAATAACTAGTTTGAAACCTCAAATTTTAACTTAAACGAAATTGTTTGTTCGGAAAAATTCGGCTTAATATATCTTATCTATCCTTTTTGGAAATTTCACCAAAATACAATGAAGAGGTAATGTCACACGATTTCCTGGCAGACAGAAAGAAGCAGAAATTGAACAGGCCTAATGATCACTGAGAAATTAAAGATTTTGTTTAGGAGATCGACTGACTGTATAAAGAATACCAATCTGAACATTAAGTTAAATGATTTGGTATTACGTTGTCCAATACTACACTTATACACAGGAAAAATTTGCTCACGTGAATTTCACATGAATCTCACATGAAATTCACATGAAAATTTTCACGTGAGATTCACCTCAAACGAGCTTATACATGAAACTCACGTGAAAATTTTCATGTAAATTTCACGTGAATTGAGATTCACCCGAATCTCATGTGAAATTATTCACGTGAGATTCACCTCAAACGAGCTTATACATGAAACTCACGTGAAAATGTTCATGTAAATTTCAAGTGAATTGAGATTCACCCGAATCTCACGTGAAATTATTCACATGAATTTCACGTGAACTTTACCAAAAAAAAAATGGTATTTTTCATGGTTTGGATTAAATTTGAAAATTTAGATGTTATTTGAATTACGTAATTTCAAAAACTCACGTGAATTTCACGTGAAAAAAATTAATGTGGTTTTCAAGTGAAATTCACGTGACTTTCACGTATAAGCTCGTTTGAGGTGAAATTCACGTGATTGATGTGAGTGAAATTTCCCTGTGTAAATACTGCGTTTGTTATGTATACTACATTGTAACAACGAAGCTGTAGTGACATGGCAGGCGACACACATTTGGTAAAAAAATGTGTGTTTCTTGTTATAAATAGGCCAACCATTCCAACAATGTCCTGTCAGGAAAAAGCAAGATTAATGTTCGATATAACGAAAATGTTTGTTACGATGGGGGCACATTACTCAGTCCCCTTTGCCTCAATTCCTTTTAAAACTGCGCTACGGCCGTGTGAGGCTTACTTTAGTACCAAGTCAAAATATGACAGTTGTTTTTCATTCGTTTGCTGTGTTTGAGCTTTTGATTTTGCAATTTGATAAAGGACTTTCCGTTATGAAATTTCATTGGAGTTCGGTATTTTTGTTAATTTACTTTTTATGAATAAATGTATACAAATATTGTGTGAGAGAGAGAAAAAAAAAACAGACGTGCATATATCCCCATCGCATCTGATGAACATATGTAGGTTCATTGTTTAGTTAACTCTGTGTTAACCGGAACAAAATCAACCTCGATCAGTAATTTTTAATATTAGTTTCGTAATACTCAGGACAATATCTACAAACATGACAAAAATGTGCGAAATGTTGTTTTATTTCGAAAAGATGGAAGTACTTACAATCAATTAGGCTATCAGGAAGTATAATTAAACAAACTATTGATGCAAACATATAGTCATGATAAAATTGACTAACGAAAGCCGGAAGGAACGTTCTTTCATTTGCACATGTTGCAGTTCATTTATTTTTAATGCCAGTTGGCTATCATTTTATTTTATTTTTTATTATTTTTGGGGGGTTGGAAAGGGGTCACACAATGTCCTTGAAAAATAATCAGTATAATTTCATAGCAGTTGAATATATACGGTTAACATTTGCAATAATAAGCAAAATGGCAGATACACACTCTATCTTTTCAAAAAACAGTAGTTGTGACGATGTCACGGTAATCGTCACGGTAGACATCAATAACATCGTCGACATCAATAACATCGTAGACATCAATAACATTGTCGACATCAATAACATCGTCGACATCAATAACATCGTCAACATAAATAACATCGTCGACATCAATAACATCGTCGACAAAAACTATTACAGGATATAGTTTGAAAACTAGAACGGTTGTTTAGGACTTTCTTTGCACATATGGATTCGTCATTTATTTTTGAATCGTATATCATTTTTTTTTTAATTTTGTGGACTAATAAATACCGACAATGTAAAAAAATCTGTCGATTTTCATGATTTTCCCTATATAGTCTTTGTATTTTTTGCGAATCATGATGTTTAACATGCAGCTCGTATCTCAAAATCTAAAATGGTTACCCCTACTTTTATTTTATTTTCTGGTGTATTTTTACAAGCAGAATTCATATGTGAAATTTCCAAAATCTGTGAGTACTTTATTACAGACACTTTGCCCTACTGATTTACGCTTTAACGGCCATTAGCTTCGATTTAGACAAAAAATAAAATAAAATACATTTCTTTCTTGCTTTAAGCAGAATTTTGAACAAAAAATTCGTTATAAGCAGTCAGTTTGGCACAAATTTGTTAAATTAACCTAAAAATATTGCTGGTGTATTATTGACTCGTAAGTCAATAATTTAACCTCATTGGATCCGTATTAATGTAACCTTTAATTCAAGCCCTTAGTTAGAGATAGGTTACTAATGTACTAGGCGTGTTCAGCTATTAAAAGGAAAAGAGTGCCAACATTGAAAGTGAAACAAGGGTGAACCATTTGGTTGCCTACTTCGATCCCCCCAAAAAAAATCATTCTTGTATTGGTAAACATGATGATTAACATATTTTTTCAACATATAATATGAAAACAAACATACCAGGAAAAATCCAACTGCACGTGGTCGCTATCTATTCATATTATTATTTTGTTTATATCGGGTTATATGACCGTCGGTAGTCTTCGGAGGTCATTTCGGTGGTTAATTAGATAGTACCTAGAATAACATACACACGAAATGCTGATACATATTAGCGAACATTGTTAATCATTTATTTTAGACTTTTTGTAATTTGGATACACGTTTTAGTATATGTTATAAATCAAATATGAGAATTTGAGTCAAATCGATGAACATAAATGTGACAACTTTAATGTAACAGTTTTTAAATTATGTTTTTTCCTTTACCTGAATTAATAAAATTGATAGGTTAGAGCTGTAAATAATTGATTTTTGTCGAATGTTTTGGGCTCTCTAAATACGAGTAAGGGGACGGTATCGACACCATGCTAAAAAGCGAATAACATCGCGGTAACTACGGTATCGTATTTAAATATGCACTCCGAACGCAGAAAATATTGATCAGGAGTCCCCAGTCTACAGATGTGGTAAGCTTACCAATGAAACAACTATCAATTGAAAAGCGCTCCGAACGGAGCAAAAATAGATCAGGAGTCACCAGTCTAGAAATGTGGTAAACTTTCCAATGAGACAACTAACAACTGAAAGGCGCTCCGAACGCAGAAAATATAGATCAGGGATTGTCGTATGCTTTCCAATAAGACAACTATCAATCGAAAAGCGCTCCGAACGCAGAAAATATAGATCAGGAGTCCCTATAGTCTAGAGACACTTTTAGTAAAAAGATGTTGAGTGAAATGTACACTTACAGGTCTTCGATTTTAGAAAATTAAGCTAACTGTGATTTGCGTGTGCAATTTAATTGATGTGATCTCTAAATGTTGAGATGTTATCTTAATATATAATGCTGTTATGTTTTACATGAAAGTTCACTTGTTTTAAAGAGAATCAATTTTTAACTATGATATTGTCCTATGTGTATTTTATTTCATTGTACATTATTCATTGTATATGCTCTTAGACGCATTTGTAGGTACCCTGCCTGCAAGTGCCCCCGTTGTAAAGGGGTAGTTTCTTAATAAATATATATATATATATATATAATGTGGTAAGCTTTCCAATTAGACAACTATCAATCGAGCACCATATGACAGGGATATAAATATGTCTATATATGTCAGTTTGATTTAAATAAATTATCACACCTTCATCTATGCAAGCGTTTCATATCATATCAAAGAATTAAAACAACACATGTTATCTGTGCTAGAGGAAATATACAAATTGAAATAAAAAATATTTCCTCCGATTATTTACATGATTTACCCTAAATATGTCCTGTACGTATCTATCATACAACAACATTTATTGTCATTACAAAATTACGTAAAAGCACTAAATATCATCGAACTTTGTATTTAACTGGTACAAAATGATTGGCTTCACTTTTACAAACTTTGAGTTTCACATCACGATAATTGTGTTTGAGTAACGTACAATGTGCTTAAGAATGCAAAGGTTTCCCACGTGAAAGGTAAAGTTTCATTTATATTTTTAACCTGTGGAAATTACCAATTTATTAATTTGCAGAGGACGCAGAGTAATGAGGTTCGACGAGGGTTGATGAAATATTTAAAACACAACCATTTAAATTAAAACGTATTTAGTATACATATATGTGATTTAATCAAATTTAAAATCTTTTGTACTGCCAGAAAATATCAGAGCTATATAGAAATATTTATGAAATAGAACAAGTTTCTGGAATATCCCACTGAAGAGGCCATAAGATGGATATTGACTACTGTTTATATATAATAATTCTTTACTGAAATGGAAATAACCGTTAGAATTACTTACGAGGAAAATATTATGACAAATCAGTATTACGTACATAAGTAAAACTTTTCAGTTGCTATTTACGTCATCGTTGAGTATATAAGTAACGTTTGAAGAATTGATTTTAAGTGTTCGTTAGATCGCCCATTGTCATATATGTCTTGGTAACGAAAAAGAAACTGTACTGTACAACATGTCTGACTGGGAATGTTCGTCGTGTACTTTGTTGAATAAAGCAGCAGTCGATATATGTCCTACGTGTAACTTCAGAAATCCTAATGCAGTATTAACTTACCCTGATAATTATGGCATGGACCAAAATGGCGCTACCTCCGAACTCAAATATCCAGGATCGGAGAAATCTGAATTGAAACACCAAGGATCAAATCCGACGGCAGATAAAGGTATGTTCATAAAATTTATGTTCTCTTAATTTTATCTTTTTATTATAAGTATAATTGAGAATCTGGAAGAATTATTTTGCAGAGCTCTACAGTTTTCTTCTAATCCATCTTCGAAACATTGCCAGGATTGTATTGGCAATGTCTCTTAATCTTAAGCGTAGTGTTTTTATCGAAATTTGCATTGTTTGTTTGTTTGTTTTGGAATTTTGTTTATTGGTTGGTTGGTTGTTTTGATAGTTGTTTTTTTTTTGGGGGGGGGGGGGGGGGGGGATATGTTTTGTTTGTTTAAGAATCGTGGTTTTTGATTGCACTCCATAGTAAGTTTTCCTTTCCAATTGATTTTATGATACGTCTCTTTCATATTCCTTTGGGCCCTGAAAAAGTTACATGGTTCACAAATTCAAGTCAGGATGTCGAAAACAGGTAAAGCTACCTTCAGGTTGCAAGAAAACCATAACCCCGTGAAACACATACCTATGCATGTTTGTATACATATACGTACAGTGACCTGTAGTTGATAATATTTACGTTATTTGGTCTCTTGTGGACAATTGTCTCATTATCTTCTTATTTTCATATTCTAATATCGGACAGTCAGGATGGGTTTTCTATGTTTGAATAAAGATGTATAAAATCTATCTGAATTCCGAAAATATTAAAAATGTTTTTTTATCTTGTAGTTTCATTTCGTGCAACTTTTGAAAGAAGACTTAATTTTAAAATGTTAACAAAATGGAGATTCAAGACCCCATTAACAACTATTGCTTCATGAAGATGTAATGTACGATTCTGCGAAGAACACAGTATTGTTTTTGATGGTCAAACTTGTAGTAATATATTTTTTGTCGAATAACAACACTTATTTTTATCCTTTAGATAACTGAAACTAGCAAATAGTTTATATTTCCTGCTGCCTCTTTTGTTTTCTGTCCAAAAATATCTGTCATTTCCGAAAGCTTTTAAGACCATTGTTTTATTTTGACTGTTGATATCATGTTCTTGTAATTCTATTTTTGTTGAAGCTGACACACTTCATATTAAATCATATTTTTTTTTTCAACAAAGGAAATCGTGTATCGATCTATAAGAGCAATTCAAAATCATTTTCTCACGTTTTTAGATTGGACTTGCAGTGACTGTACATTTCATAACTCTGTATCAACAACATGTGAAATGTGTGAGATCTCAAAATCAGAGTCAATTCGGAAATCCCAGACACCTGTGCAGAAACCATCAAAACCTCCAGTCCAAAACATGTCAACTGGTAATACCACAGGTAAGTTTCTTCCTAGTCAGAAACCATCAAAACTTCCAGCCCAAAACATGTAAACTGGTTATGCCATAGGTAAGTCTCTTCCTATTCTTATCAGTAGACAAAGACGTTTAACCCTAATAATGCCACAGAGTCTATATGTGAGGGTATGGATTGGGTGTACAGAAAAGAGATTATAGGCCAAATCTACAGAAAAATGGACCAAGAATAGTGAAAAGTAGGGCAAAAAATTAAGAATAAAAACTCCTTAATAGAGTTACTTTTTTCACTTACTAAAAACAGTATTTAATATGTTCCTGCTAATTTCCATACGATTTAACAATAAAAGTAGCTTATATATGATGCCCCTTTATTCTTATGTTCCACTGTAGAGCATCATAATTATATAAACTACTGTTCTTGTTGTGTCACTGTTGAAAATAGAAATAGAGGGATATCACATATAAACTACTGTTATTGTGACATCGTATGGATAGGAGCAAGAACACATTAGATAAGTGAAAACAAGTTAAAATATTAACGAATGTTAACTAATAAATAAAACACAAACAAAAATATAAAGAAAAATGTGACGGTCCATTCCAAATGCTTATGGTAACACTGTGTCAATCGGCACGTGTTTAACTTTACATTACTAACTTTCAATTAAAACAGTGCAATTGTATGGTATAAAACATAAACGCAACTTTTGACTTTAGCCTTACCTGACAATAATGAATTCGTAGCGCATCCAGAGCTTGAAGTGGAGGGGGAGCAGGAAAGGGGGGAGGGGGGTGGCGTCATAGAACTTTATTTGGATAAAGGTTGAAATGATCAATTAGTTTGGAACCTGTCTAACATGACCCTACTATACAAAAAAAAAAAAAAAAAAAAAAAAATACGGACAAGTCAGATTGGAAAGACTGAATGTTGACCATTTTATTTTATTTTTTTCAAAGATAATAAGAAAAGATGAGTTTCGATCTTTTCTAATTATAAGACGACCTTCAAATAATCTTGAATATTATTTAAAATCGACATTTTTAAGCAGACAATATTTTAATCATTCGTCTTTTTTACAACAGGAAGAAGGAATTAGTCGTTTATAGAAATACGCTGAATAATTATTTAGGTCAGTAACTAGAACACGGAGCGTGAATGATAACAGAAAGGAAGTTTTCTTTCTTCGTATACTCTTCAAACAATAGGAGGAAATATTATGTTTTCCTGTCCGTGTGTCTTTAAGTCCGTCCCGTATCCGGTTTAATATGTTTCTTCTTTCTTTTATAATGTACGCACTGTACAAATTTTCCAACAATTTGTCTCCTTTGCAACGCCCTGTTGGGGGACATAGAGATATTTGGTGTGTGTCCTTGCGTCTATGCTTCCGCCCATCGGTGTGTTCGTGTGTCTGTGCATCTGCCCATCGGTGTGTTCGTGTGTCTGTGCATCCGTTCTTCTGCACTTTCTCATGTACAATTTATATCAAAGGTTTATATCAACATAGCAAAATATGTGCATTAATGGGGAACATTGGACTGCTAGCTGTTCTTTTATTATTTTAGTGGTAAAAATGCAAATACATTAGTATAGTAAAAAAAAACAATTTTCTTTTGCTTTTTTGATTCGGAGATATGACTTTTGCATACTGTCTTGTCGTAGTTCTGATTGACGGCTGAATCTTCATTTATTTGTTCTTTTATTTTTAAGGCTACCAGTTTCTATTCTTTTTTTCTTTATTTGCAATCTTCTCTATTCTTATCTTTTTTCGACCCATTTTCCTTTATGAGTTATTTTTTGATTCGGAGATATGACTTTTGCATACTGTCTTGTCGTAGTTCTGATTGACGGCTGAATCTTCATTTATTTGTTCTTTTATTTTTAAGGCTACCAGTTTCTATTCTTTTTTTCTTTATTTGCAATCTTCTCTATTCTTATCTTTTTTCGACCCATTTTCCTTTATGAGTTATTTTTTGGTCCACTATTGTCTAATTTATAATCCCCATCAAGACTCTTATACAACCTGTCTTTTGTGTGTTGATAATCTGTAGATAGGCTATATATTAGGGTCTGGATGGGGTGTACAACATAGAGAATAATGGACAAAATACTTCATAAAAATGGGCAAAAAAAAATAAAGAATAGAGAGAAAAACCTGACAAAAAAAAAGAATAGATAATAATGGGGTGCTGAAATATAAAGAATAGAGAATAATGGGGTGATGAAATATAAAGAATAGAGAATAATGGGCAAAACATATAAAGAATAGATAAAATTTGTCTAAATAAATAAAGAATACAGAAATGAAGGTTCTCTCATCCAGACCCTAAATTAAATGTATACCTTTCTAGACTCAGGTCGAGTGAGACACAGAGCTTGACATATTCTGTATAGAAACCTGTCTATTGTAGAACACCATATCTTGACATCGAGGGGATGTCTTATGCTATTTTGTTTTAAATTTTTGGGTTGCTGCCTCCTTAAATTGACGTAGACGACAATTCTCCTTTTGTTTACATTCGTTCATATGTATATGTGTTACAGTGAATTTGTATAATCAGGGATTATGTAGAATCCCTAAAATTTTCAGGGATTATGTAGAATCACTGGTTAGTTTAGGGATTATATATAATCACTGAAATTTTCAGGGATTAGGTAAAACCACTAGAAAAAATGTCAGGGATTATGCATAATAACTGAAATGAAGAAACAGTTTTGTGTATAAAAAAAATGAATGAAAGTTAAAAAAATTTATTCTATCAAATCAAATTCAACATGTTAAAACTTCATAATAAACATGATTTGTAAAATTTTAAGCACAATACATGTATTTATTAAAATGTTTGGCACAATTTATTAAAGTGTTTGGCACAATTTATTAAAATGTTAAGCACAATATATAAAAATGTTAACCTTATTAATATATACATGTATAATTAAAGTGTTAGTCATAATATTTTAAGATGTTACACAAAATAAAAATATTAAGCACTAGATATTAAAATGATAACCTCAATATATATCATAATGTTACACAATGTATTAAGATGGTAAGTACAATATATTAAAATAATCATTAAATAAATTTGGATGGCATCGACTATTGCACATTTGACCTGCTTTTCTGCAGGCACTTCTAATTGATTTGCATCTTTTTGTTACCACATTATCCACATTTAAAAAAACCTTGTTCTTCACATATCGAATCAGATTTTATGGAACTAGTAAGAGAAATAAAGTTTTCAATACAAACATCTGAAGGTACCCCAAAAAAAAGGAATCAGCAGCCTCGAACTGATTTTTGGTGTAAGATCCGAGCAGAATTTTATTGTATTAGTTCTCTCAGTTTGAATTTCATGTTCATTTATCCCCTCTTTGCACAAAGGAACATTTAGTTAAAGTTTGAAGATATTTGGCCAAATAGTTTCAGAGGAGAAGATTTTTTAAATAGTTTACGACGACAGACGACAACAGACGACAGACGACGACGACGACAAGTTATGGCATAAGCTCACATGGGGCCCTTTGGGCCCGGTGAGCTAATAAAGGATAGTAGCCATGGTAGCAGCATAAAACAATTTAGATATTTATATGTCAGCAGATAGTAATATTTTGTCTTCTTTATTCGGAGTTCAGTATTTTTGTGATTTTACTTTTTACTAGGTTCTTTTGTCATCAAAAAAAAAAAAAAAACACTGTATTTGTTCCTTGTCCATATCTTGTATTTTGTTTTTTCCTCTGCCATTATCATTTGCTTGTGAAATAATGTGGTTCAATAGTTGAATAAAACTGTTCACTTAATTTGATTTTTGTTATTATTGATAATCCCTGAAATCGTATTAGGGAATTTGTAAAATAATTAGTAAAATGTTCAGTGATTATGTAAAATCACTGGTCAATATCAGGGATCATATATAATCACTAATGAGTTTAGTGATTCTACATATTCCCTGAAAAATCAGGGATTCTACATAATCACTGATTATACAAATTCACTGTAACATATACATTGCGTTGAAAAAAAAAGCCGGACGGAAAAAGGTAGCGATGTCGAAATAACGTGAAGTATGTATCGAAGGGCGTATTAAAGATTTATATAGTACGGAAATAATTAACAAATTATTGACTGGGAGTTAAGTAAAACGGAAGTTGATATTTATTTTTTTATTTCGGTGGGTGTTAATCTTTTAACTGAATGAAGCTATTCATTTAAATACATATCACATTCTATAAATATGAAAGGTGAACATTATTATTGTCCTGGTATCTTTGTTCAATATTAAATAACGTATAAGGATGGAAAACAATTTAACTTTTTCATTACACTATATTCAATTACATAAAAAAAAAAACCACGAAGAACATAAAGATTAATTCATTTATGTTTGCTTTACATGAAATGTCAAATATTTTATGCATATCTAGAAACAATTTTAGGACAAATATCTTCGAATCGTCCTTTAGGTTATCTTATTGTGAAATACCACAAATTCAGAAATTATTGCGTGTATTCATCATTGCGATGTTTGAAGAATGGACAAAAAAGCAAGATTTAGATATTGCGATTTCAGGAATATCTCCATACAGATATATGTATCAGATATAAGAATGCGATTTCTTATTATTGCCATTCGAATTAAAAAAAAAACCTCGCCATACTATCTGAATTAACAGTATATAATTCTATGTATATAATTTATCTATTTCTGTAATTGATAAATGAGATAAACTTCTCATACCAAACGCACCAGAAATAAAATGAATAGAAGTTTTCTGTATTAAGCAAGATGTGTGTATATGTATTACCTTTGTTTTCCCGCCTTTTGATTTTGCTGATATCTCATTTATTATATAAAAAAAAAAAATCTTAATACCTACATTAGTATTTTCTCTATTTAATTTCAAATATATATATTAATATACGGAAATGTAAATTTGTAAACGGAAGTTTCCCAATTGCTGAATAAACTCGTGATAGTATATGATTTTAATCATTACAATTTAGTATATATATCATAACATATCGAAAAAAAAATATTATAAAAAACATAAAAAACATTTTCTTATTACCAACATAAGGACATTCTCTATTTACTTTCAAAAATATGTATCAGATCAATATACGGAAATATAAGTTTGTAAACGGAAGTTTCCCCAACTTCTGAATAAACTCGTGACAGTATATGATTTTAATCATCATAATTTATTATATCATAACATATCGATAAAAGGATGTAAATGTTCATATACTGTAAATTCAGAAATTATGCAATGTTTTATTAATGCTAAAAATGCGACTGTATGAAGTTCGAAATAATAACAACAATAACACAATGGTGTTACATCTTACAAAGTTTATCCAAATTTATTTTTGCAAAGAATTCCGCTCTAGCCGGTGCTATGGGCCGTCTTAAACTTGCAGTGAGGTGACAGTCTATTTTGCTCCGTGTTGAAGGCCTCACTGTGACTTTGAGATGAAGAACAGTAATAAAAGCGCTGTTCCTTTGCTTATTGTGTGTTTTTTTGTTGTGCATGTACTGATTTTGTGTCATGGATGGATACCCCATATCCTTTGTTTTTCAATTGTATTCATATTTTCAGTAATGCGTATCCTTCATAAAATCGCATTAATTAGATTTCGCATTTTTCCCAGAAGTCAAAGATTCGCAATAAAAAGTGCATTCATAAATTTCTATATATACAGTATCTAGAAAAAAAAGAGTAAACAAAGTAACAATCTCATAATCTAAACAATTCATTCCGTTGGTTGAAATATTCTAACGTTTGAACTTGTCAGTTTTTATGGACTTCCCCCTTTTTTAATTTGCTTTTGAGTTCAGTTTTTTGTCAATACTTTTTTAATACAGTTTTTAAAACAGTCTCTCCTTTTATGTACGTTTTGATCATCTACTGATGAGAAAAAACGGCAGGGTTGAGATATAAAAATAGACTAGTAAAACCTCGTCATATTTCTATCTGCATGTTCCTAGTCAAGCAAGCCTTCAGTAGTTATCTTATATCATATCTAAACGTATTGCGATATTATGAGAATTCGCCGTTTCAGAATCTTATGCATTCTGGGTAATATTTTCAAAAGCGCACACGGCCCAAAACGCCATGATCGGCTTACAGCGTCCCAAACAATTGAAATTCAACCAATGACGTGACGTTATTTTCATTTTGGGGTACGAACAATAAAATATCCCATAGTCCTTTAGATTCTTAAACTGCTAAGGGAGCTACCATTTGATTGGTTAAAAACTTCCTAAACATTGGAAATTCAACCAATGGCGTGACGTTATTTTCATTTTGGGGTACGAACAATGAAATTACCCATAGTCCTTTAGATTCTTAAACTGCTAAGGGAGCTACCTTTTGATTGGTTAAAAACTTCCTAAACATTGGAAATTCAACCAATGACGTGACGTTATTTTCATTTTGGGGTACGAACAATGAAATTACCCATAGTTCTTTAGATTCTCAAAAGGCGAATTGAAGAATTATTCTTGAGAAAGATCTCATGTATAGACACTGTCTATTGTTCAAGACTGCTGCTGATGTCTTTGCCTTATTTTTGTCGTTAGGTTGTTGTTTCACTGACGGAATCAACACATCTTCTTTTGTACATATTCGCTTTTAACTTACCTTTGTATCACTTCTCTAAAGCAGAAATTTTAATACTAGTACAATTGCGATTACAAAATGGTCGCAATAAGTAGCTCGAAGACGACCATTGGGTCCGAACACTTTCTTAATGGTCGTACAGAAGCAAAAGATAAATATATTTTATATAACTTTTTGGGATAACTATCTTCTCATTTTTCTTTTTTAACGGATACAATATTTATAATAGATCTTTAAGATAAAAAATTACAAGTATTCGTTTTAAACATCTATTTATATAGCAAAACAGTATATTCCGTCTTTAAATAGTTTGGAGTGAACATTTTCCTTGAATAGATTTTAAGATATTTCATCGAACTATTCCCTGACACATGAGTCATATTTATATTTATTTATCTGATCAGTTTTAAGGAAGATATGGGAAATCAAACACTAGAAACTGGTATTTCCGTCCGGTTTTAATTTGGTATTTTACTGTTGTGAGCGATTTATATCTAGGACTACTGTTGAGTTAAGAGCAGAGTGACAATTATTTCGGATATGTCTGTTGCAGGTCTGTTTTTCATATTTGCTATTTCATTTATTCATCAATTCTATTAATGAATAGAAAGAAAAACAATTGCTCCATGAAAAATGAACATATAGTATATGTAATGTGTAAATACATTTAGTCTAAAAAGTTGACGAAGTTGAAATCTGAATTACATGCATTATGCTGTTATTATTGTTTATTATTTGTTATAATATTTGTTGCCATTCACTAATTTCACGAAGAAGTATGCTTAAAATTGTGTTCTGTTTCGTTTTCTATTTTAAAATTTATGTGTCAGCGTATTTATTATAACTATAACTCATTTCTTTTTAGGAAGTCGATCTCAGAGTCGGAATGACATAGAAACGGATTGTGCTGAAGATGGCGGGGAAGTACGGATGGTGCTAGTTGGTCGCACCGGTAGCGGAAAGAGTGCCACTGGAAATACAATTCTAGGGGAAAACAAGTTTAAGGCAATGGTTTCTGGATCATCAGTGACTGTCAATTGTAGCCGGGGAGAATGTTATCGCGGAAATAGACTTCTTTTAGTCGCTGACACACCAGGGTTATTTGATACAAACCATTTAAACTTTGAAGTCACGCGCGAGATTAGCAAATGCGTTGGCATGACTTCACCTGGTCCACACGCGGTTCTTCTTGTTATCGCTATTGGACGATATACTAAAGAGGAACAGGAGACCGTCGAACATTTTATACAACATTTTGGACATGACGTCATCAGATATATGATGATAGTCTTTACCCGTGAAGATAATTTAAAACAAGAACAGAAGACCATTGAAGAGTTTCTTGAAAATGCTCCATCTGAACTTAAAGAGATTGTACGAAAATGTGAGAACAGGTACATTTGTGTTGACAATATTGCAAGCGAATCTGAAAAGAAGAGAAAAGTTGATGAACTTATAACAAAAATCGACGACATGGTGGATAAAAATGGCGGTGTATGTTATACTAATGAGATGTATGCTGCTGCAGAGGATGTATTAGCAAGACGCATGGATCAAATTAGGGCAGAATTTGAGCAAGACCAAGAACGCGAGAGACGTAAACTTCATAACCAAATATCTTCAGAATTTGAACAGGACATTCGTGCTCTGACAAATGAAAGATCTAAACTAGAAGATAGAATGGCAAGGATGCATTGGGAAAAAGATTACTCCGAGAAGGAAAAACAGACTTTACAGATGGAAATGGTACGAATTCAACAACAAAAGGAGATCAGCCAAGGAGAGATGGACGAGGGAGAGAACCGACAATTATCTGAAAGAATCGCAGCACTGCGCAGGCGTGAAGTTCTCCTTAACCAGCAGCTGCAACAAAAAGAACGTCAACGACTATTGATGCTTTCCGATTTAGAAAAAGCAAATCATGGAATCAAACAAAAACGAAAGGAAAGAGGAAGAGGATCCTCCATGGGATCTTATCGAAGAGAATACATTGATGAAAAAACTGTCCGACAAAAGGCACGCGATGACGTCGAAAACAAATCCTCAAACATTTTTACCGAACTTTTGGAATCACTAAAGAACGTTGGAAAAACATTTCTTAGTCAAGCCATCAAATTTTTCAACAATTTGTTTTGAAGTCGTATTTTCTTTATGGTGTTTGGATTTTTTCGCCATATTTTTGTACAATTTTATTCTATTACGTGTACGTAAACACAAATTAATGACTGTGTGTTTCTGCAAAACTGCGTTATGTATATATGTAAAAGAAAGAAATATTACCATGCATAGATCTTGAAATATATGCAACTCTTCTAACAGTGAAGTAACTTTATGCGACTATATCATAACAATTGCAAAGAAGACTCAAGGATGCATTGCCTAAAACATGTATAAAGAAACCCGATACAACCTAGTTTAGGTATATTTACAAATATCGGCCAGTATGCTTACACTGTTGACACACCTGGTGTTTTCTGATTGGATTTCATGTCCTATCGACTCTTTGCATGTCCTCTTTGTCTGTTTTTGTACAAGTACGTACATTGTAGAAGTAATTTTTGTAATATTACTCCCTTCAAACTATTTATAATTTATGTTTACATTTGTATTGGCATAGCCTCTTTTGGAAACGTAAGATATATTTTGTAAAAATTAAAGTTCCGTTGGTGTTTAATAAGCCAGCATTGTTTGTCTTTTTTTTTGCCGTTATGTTTGCTGTCCTTCTTATTGCGATTTTCATTTCCCCTCAATATTTTCTTATTTCATTGAAATTCCTACCTATATGATTGCGTGTTAGCCTATTGTAATAATATCATGTAAAATAAATGTTAGCGTTTGGAAAATTGTGTTAAAAATTTGATATACTAATTAATTAGAAAAACACTGAAGGTGTAGAACAGTAATAACCATAAATTTATAAAGACCAAACAATACCATTGCCAAAAAAAAAAACAACAAAAAAAACAAAAAAAACCAAAAAAAAAACCAATAGGGCAATAGTAAAAAAAAAAATTACACAACACGAGAAATTGCGCATTACGAATTTTACTATCTATAGGGTGAACATTATTTAAAACTATTTTAGACTTTTCCGTTGCAGTCAAACTACTTAATATTCTTCTATCGGTAAGGGCCTCCTATTGTATCCTTCCTGTAAGTGTGTGAATTTACTGGGTCTCATGAAAGAAAGACTGAGATAATTTAAAGTTAAAATAAAAAGCTGTGGTATGATTTCCAATGAGACAACTATCAACCATGCCAACGGACAATGATTTTAACAACTACAGGCCACCGTACAGTTTTCAACGATTAAACAAGTTCATACCATATACTAAGCTATTAAAGACCACGGGATAACAAAATTGGCAAATATTGAGCAGAAAAAACAACAGTTTGATTTATGCTTATAAAATTAAACAAAAAAGAATTTTGACATAGATTAGTATATTGAATAAAGGCAGATACAAAATAATAAAACTTAAAATTATAGAACTGGAAATTCCCACTTTTACACATTCCTCCCCCGTAGAATATATATGAATATGACGTATGCGTTCCATACGAATTATACAGCATTAAAACCTCTAAAAGATAATTATTTTAATATGAAAATAAAAAAAAATCGACTTTTTGAACAAATGTCCAATATTTATTTGATTTTCACAAATTATATCTCTTTCGCATAATCACATGTAAGCGATACATTAGTTGAAAACTGGTTCAAGGTGGATAGGTTTTTGTTCTGTATACGACGAACAAATTATACAAAGAAGGAATATTTCATGATAGATTCACACTTTTGTAATTATTATTACTGAACTTGTACATGTTGTAATATATTTCTGTAATGAATTATTGTAAAAAAACATTGTCTACTTGGATGTGTGAATTCTTTCATTTATAATATCTGTTATGCCCCATAAATATATTGTTCAATTAAAAACACGGAAGTGTAAAGTGTTTCTAGGAATCATCCTGTTTGTCCGTCCGTCCGTCTGTCTGTCAATCATTCTGTATATGTGAAATAAGGATTTTGCATGATTGCCGATGAGACAACTATCCAACAGAATATAAATGACGTAGACGAAAGCAATTATAGGCCCCCATACGACCTTTCAACAATTAATAAAACCCATACATACCGTATATTGAGCTATAAAAGGTCCCGACATGACTAAATATGAAACAAATAAACAAAAAACTAGCGGTCTGATTTACAACAAAACAATAACAAAAATAGATATAACAGATATCAACCAACGACAAACACTAAATTATAGGCTTCTACCTTAGAACAGTGTCATATAGAATGCACCTTGTAAGCACAACTCCTCCTAACGGGATGTATGGATATAAATGGTACTTTACACAGTTGTAGAACTCTACCTGAGAAAGTGAATAGATGAATAAAATGTCGGTCCTTCGTGTTTGAGGGGACATACACGAATTTAATGATTTCAATAATGCAATTAGAAGCTATAATATAATGGGAATGTAGTATCCTTTTGTGAGTTCACTTGTAGTTCTAGATTGCCAATAGATTGTTTTTATCATGCTTAACATTTTTTTGTACATGAAGCTTGCTACTTCAAGAAGTAAAGCAGATCCAAATACATGCATTTCGTTTATGTATTTTTCTGTATATTTACTGATAATAAAATGTAAACTCAGTAGAAACACTCAAGTTTTCTACTCTCAGGCATATAGGAATGATATTTGCCCAGATTTCGCCTAACTTTTTGGAACAGTTTTCTACTCTCAGGCATTTAGGAATGATATTTGTCAAGATCTCGCCTAACTTTTTGGAACAGTTTGTTCTCTCAGGCATATAGGAATGATATTTGCCCAGATTTTGCCTAACTTTTTGGAACAGTTTGTTCTCTCAGTCATATAGGAATGATATTTGCCCAGATTTAGTCTAACTTTTTTCCCTCAGGCATATATGAATGATATTTGCCAAGATTTCGTCTAACTTTTTGGAACAGTTTTCTACTTTCAGGCATTTAGGAATGATATTTGCCCAGATTTCGTCTAACGTTTTAAAACAGTTTGTTCTCTCAGGCATATAGGAATGATATTTCCCAGAATTTCGTCTAACGTTTTGGAACAGTGTGTACTCTCAGGCATATAGGAATGATATTTGTCCAGATTTCGTCCAACATTTTGGAACAGTTATCTACTCTCAGGCATATAGAATTGATTTTTGCACAAAATTTCGCCTAACTTTTTGGAACAATTTGTTCTCTCAGGCATTTAGGAATGATATTTGCCCAGATTTCGTCTAACGTTTTGGAACAGTTTGTACTCTCAGGCATATAGGAATGATATTTGCCAAGATTTTGTCTAACTTTTTGGAACAATTTTTCTACTCGCAGGCATATAGGAATGATATTTGCCCAGATTTCGTCTAACTTTTTGGAACAGTTTGTTTTCTCAGGCATTTAGGAATGATATTTGCCCAGATTTCGTCTAACTTTTTGGAACAGTTTGTTTTCTCAGGCATATAGGAATGATATTTTGCCAGATTTCGTCTTACTTTTTGGAACAGTTTGTTCTTTCAGGTATATAGGAATGATATTTGACCAGATTTCGCCTAACTTTTTGGAAAAGTTTTCTACTCTCAGACATTTAGGAATAATATTTGCCCAGATTTCGCCTAACTTTTTTGAAAAGTTTTCTACTCTCAGATATTTAGGCATGATATTTGCCTAGATTTCGTCGAACTTTTTGGAACAGTTTGTTCTCTCATGCATATAGGAATGATATTTGCCCAGATTTCGGCTAACTTTTTGGAACAGTTTTCTACTCTCAGGCATTTAGGAATGATATTTGCCCAGATTTCGAATAATTTTTTGGAACAGTTTTCTACTCGCAGGCATATAGGAATGATATTTGCCTAGATTTCGACTTTTTTTTTAACAGTTTTCAACTCTTAGTCATTTAGGAATGATATTTGCCCAGATTTCGTCTTACTTTTTGGAACAGTTTGTTCTCGCAGGCATATAGGAATAATATTTGCCAAGATTTCGTCTAACTTTTTGGAACAGTTTGTTCTCTCAGGCATTTAGGAATGATATTGCCCAGATTTCGTCTAACTTTTTGGAACAGTTTGTTCTCTCAGGCATATAGGAATGATATTTTCCAAGATTTCGTCTAACTTTATGGAACAGTTTGTACTTTCAGGCATATAAGAATGATATTTGCCCAGATTTCGTCTAACTTTTTGGAACAGTTTGTTCTCTCAGACATTTAAGAATGATATTTGCCCAGATTTCGTATTACGTTTTGGATCAGTTTGTTCACTCAGGCATATAGGAATAATACTTGCCCAGATTTCGTCTAACTTTTTGAAACAGTTTGCTCTCTCAGGCATATAGGAATGATATTTGCCCAGATTTCGTCTAACTTTTTGGAACAGGTTGTTCTCTCAGGCATATAGGAATGATATTTTCCCAGATTTCGTCTAACTTTTTGGAACAGTTTGTACTTTCAGGCATATAAGAATGATATTTGCCCAGATTTCGTCTAACTTTTGGAACAGTTTGTTCTCTCAGACATTTAAGAATGATATTTGCCCAGATTTCGTATTACGTTTTGGAACAGTTTGTTCTCTCAGGCATATAGGAATAATATTTGCCCAGATTTCGTCTAACTTTTTGGATTAGTTTTCTACTCTCAGGCATTTAAGAATGATATTTGCCCAGATTTCGTCTAACTTTTTAGAACAGTTTGTTCTCTCAGGCATATAGGAATAATATTTGCCCAGATTTCGTTTAACTTTTTGGAACAGTTTGTTCTCTCAGGCATATAGGAATGATATTTGCCCAGATTTAGTCTAACTTTTTTCTCTCAGGCATATATGAATGATATTTGCCCAGATTTCGTCTAACTTTTTGGAACAGTTTTCTACTCTCAGGCATTTAGGAATGATATTTGCCCAGATTTCGTCTAACGTTTTAGAACAGTGTGTTCTCTCAGGCATATAGGAATGATACTTGCCCAGATTTCGTCTAACTTTTTGGAACAGTTTTCTACTCTTAGGCATTTAGGAATGATATTTGCCCAGATTTCGTCTTACTTTTTGGAACAGTTTGTTCTCGCAGGCATATAGGAATGATATTTGCCCAGATTTCGTCTAACTTTTTGGAACAGTTTGTTCTCTCAGACATTAAAGAATGATATTTGCCCAGATTTCGTATTGCGTTTTGGAACAGTTTGTTCTCTCAGGCATATAGGAATAATATTTGCCCAGATTTCGTCTAACTTTTTGAAACAGTTTGCTCTCTCAGGCATATAGGAATGATATTTGCCCAGATTTCGTCTAACTTTTTGGAACAGTTTGTTCTCTCAGGCATTTAGGAATGATATTTGCCCAGATTTCGTCTAACTTTTTGGAACAGTTTGTTCTCTCAGGCATATAGGAATGATATTTTCCCAGATTTCGTCTAACTTTATGGAACAGTTTGTGCTTTCAGGCATATAAGAATGATATTTGCCCAGATTTCGTCTAACTTTTTGGAACAGTTTGTTCTCTCAGACATTTAAGAATGATATTTGCCCAGAATTCGTATTACGTTTTGGAACAGTTTGTTCTCTCAGGCATATAGGAATAATATTTGCCAAGATTTCGTCTAACTTTTTGGAACAGTTTGCTCTCTCAGGCATATAGGAATGATATTTGCCCAGATTTCGTCTAACTTTTTGGAACAGTTTGTTCTCTCAGGCATGTAGGAATGATATTTTCCCAGATTTCGTCTAACTTTTTGGAACAGTTTGTACTTTCAGGCATATAAGAATGATATTTGCCCAGATTTCGTCTAACTTTTTGGAACAGTTTGTTCTC